CAAGTTGAGTGATGTCTAGGATGTTGTCAAACCCAATAGAACATCTGAAAGCAGCTGATTACTTTGAGCAGATTAACATTAGACACAGAGATAATAATAACACAAACTCTAACGACAGCAATAATAACCAACGAATACCTCATAAACATATTATCGAGCTCAAGTCCCAACAAACACTCAGCAAGTTAAGAACTACATGAGGCTGAGTTGCACAAGGAAAAACCAACTTTGCTGGAAAAAAAAAAATACAGCTGCTATTCAACTTGATATTTAAGCTTTATTCTGAAAATGTTAAATGGACAATGCTATTTTGCTTTGGCTGATACAAGATGTATCTAGGTGTAGAATGGCATGCTATTGTGATTTTAGAAATAATCTTTTTCACTCCCTCAAATTGTAATATTATTGTTCATTTAGAAACAAAAATAGAATCAAATTCTTGTTTCCACAACTGGCTTTTGCTTACCAGTTGTGTGACAAGAGGCAAGTTATCTACGCCTCTCATTCTCAGCGTCTGCATCTACAAAACGGAGATGGTTATGGCCCCTGGACATTATAGGCGCTTTCAAGAAAACCACGTGAAATGGACAGTGTGGCACTGGTCCAGGGTATGTTCCCAAAGAAGAGTGAGGGAACCCATCAGAGTTTAAGCGACAGAGAAGCGCAAGGGCTTGGGCACATCCTCCTCAGGTCTGTGACCAGCACAGCCTCCCTTTCCACAGGTGGTGTTAGTTTTGGGAGCTGATCATATGGTTTTGAATCACTGCTCACATTATCACTCCTTGTGAAATACATGCACACATGGGTCTGTGGGTTCTCTCTTATAACAATATATTTTTGTCCTCACGAGAAAGTACTTACGAGGTCATCAGAAAAGCATGACGTATTTTTTTATGCAGAAATGCGTGATGACTTCTCCAATGACCCAATAAAAGTAAAAAAAAAAAAAAAAAAAGAACTCGGTATGGGAAAGCAAATTCCATCCTTGGTTATCATTTAGATCCTGAGCCTGACTTCAGGAATGGGGCTTCTCTGAGTGGAAGTCATTTATAAATATAATGGTCTGAACATTAAAACTTAGCTAGAAACTGGGATAGAAATAAAAGGATTTTTTAAAGTACTGACAATCAAAACAATGGCTTTTATTTCTAAGAGAAGGTTCACCTTTCTCCCTGAAACTCTAGGCTTACATATTTCATCGTTCTTGATATTTCCAACTGGGTGTTTAAAAGCCTCCTCAGATTTATTATACTATGTCTAAATCAGAATTCTAGATTTGAACTCCATCATCACCAACAATCCATTCTCCATATGGCCATTCAATGGTTTCTAACAAGTGTTGACTGGATCATTTTGTTACCTTGTTTATACTGTCCAGTGGCCAGTGCCTTACCATGACCCAAAATTAGGGTTCAAAGTCCTGCATGTCCAAGATCCTATCCACCCCCATCGACCCCTTTCTAAAATTCTTGCAACTTCTCATAAACCTTTTCCATTCTTAGAACACACCAAAGTTGGTCCTGTACTAGGGCCTTTTGCTATTTCCTTTGTGTGACATGTGCTCACTTTCAGATTTCATGCCTGGACCCTCATCATTCAAATCTCAGCACAAATCCTACTCAGTCAGGAAGGCCTGCTCGGCCTCCCATTAAACGTAGTTCTGGGGCTCAGCTTTCATACCACACTTTCACGCCACACTTTCACGCCACACTTGGCCCTCTCTCTGTTTTATTTCCCCCCTGACACTTAACATTATATGAAATTATTTATTTGATTGCTTATGTTAATCATTTATTTTTGGGACTGACAGGTAATGTGATGGTTAAGGCATTGGACTCCCATATGGCAGGTCACAATTTGAATACCGTAACTGGCAGCTAGCTTTCTCACTTTCCCTCTCTCTCTCTCTGGTCAAGTTAAAAAAAATTAATAATAAATAAAATTACATTTAGAAAATTCCTTAAAAAATAGTTTATTCTCTCTACCTGTGAAAGGAGGGGGGCAGGGCTATTTTGTTCACAACTGCACTCACAGTGCTAAGTTGCTCGGCACAGACATGTGAATAAATGAATGGATGAATGAAGCAACTTGATTTTCTTCACTTGAAGATCATTTAATTCTTTTTCAACATGTTTATAAGACACCTTTTCTCCCCTTTAAAACTTTTTTACATAGGCGACAATCTCTGTTCATTAATTTTACCTGGGGCCAGGCAATCTACTTAACTTAAGGTTCACATCATTCCTAATGTCAGGTATATTTTCTTCTATTATATATTCAAAAGTTGCTTTTGTTTGTTTGTTTTCCATGAGGATGCATGCACTCACCAGAGAGACAGAGACAGAGCGAGAGAGGGAGAGGACATAAGCACTTCCCAATGAGGTATGATCACACAAAAATCCTGTCTCTTCCATCTTGCCACCCTGTCAAAACTTCGGGCATGCACAGACATATACCTGGCATGTTTTCCAAGCCACTGGGGCCAGGATCCAACATGTAGGATCCAACTCCTTTAACCATGGGGTCAGCTCCGCTTTTATTCTATTTTTAAAGACTGTTTTTGTTGTATTTGTTCTGGACTTCTTTGAGGGGAAAACAAAACACTGATTAGAGCTGTGTACTAAATCTTTGCAAACTCATTTAAATATCTCTTAATTTTTATTTCAGCGACAACACAATTTATCAGATAGCCTAACCCTGAAATTATCATATACTAATGTGCTCAACCCTTCCTGTCCCAGCACTCAAATTTTCTTTTCTTCTTTCCTTTTTTTTTTTTTTTTTAAAGATTTTTTTTTGCCATAGAGAGCATGTGCTCACCAGAGAGAGAGACAGAGAGAGAGGGAAAGTGAGAAATCACCCCTTGGGGGATAGCCATGTTGCAATCCCTCCTCCTCCATTTTCCTCTAGGAATTTTGGGTGGGCATGCACACACGCCTGGCATGTTTCCAAGTCATAAGGTCTGGAACTTGAACTGCAGAGTCAGTCATTTGGAATCCAGCACATTAACTACTACATCACTTTCTGGCCCTCTGTTGATATTTTTAGATAAAGAATGTACCTTACGGGACCAGCAGTTAGCGTAATGGCTATGTCACTGAATTCCCATGTAGTTGACCGTGGTTTGAGTCCCAGACTCGGTGGCTTAAACTCATGCCAGGCGCATGTGCATGCATGCCCAAGATCCCTAGAGAAGAATGGATTGCGACGTGGCCATTCCCCTGGTGGGTGATTTCTCACTTTTTATGTCTCTGTCTCTCTCAGTCTTTCTGGCGAGAGCACGCGCCCTATAGTAAAAATCTCTCCAAAAAAAAAAAAAAGAATATACCTTACTTAAAATGGTGAATACAACATGGCAAACTTATTTTCAAAATGTTACTTATTGTTTCTTACTTATTGTCAGTTTCTTCCCATATGAGATTAAGATACATATGAAAAGAGACTTGTTATACTCACTATCGTATTACTGAATTCTAGAAAAATGTGTTTATACAGAATGAGTTAAACAAATGAAAGCATTAACATGAAATAAATAGAATCATGGAATGAATGATGTTTGTGTGTGTGTGCGTGTGTGTGTATGTAAAGTTTGTCTCCTTTGGTTTCTAGTAAATTGTTCTTGCTTCTATTACTGTGGAAATTCAATGATGTTAATACAGTATGCAAAATCTGTACATTAAAGTACTGATGTAGTAACTCACAACCAAGCAATAAATGAGCTGCAAAGCTCACTTTAAAAACAAGCTGCTCTGTACATTTAATATGTGTATAATACTTCTACCTTTTATTGTCAATAATTTGGAACATGAGGGGCGAATTGCAGAAACAAATGTTCTAACTTGACTTTTATGCAGTTACTTCTGGAACTAAAGCCTCTCGGGAGCACTGAACTAAAGTAATTGAACTAATTCATACCTGAAGCTTCTTTAGTTTTTTGTAGAATAGTAGTATGATAGCTTAATAAAAGAGTTTCAGAGACAGCTCAATTCTAACTGAAGTCAAGATCCCACTACACATTAAGGACATATGTTGTTTACCAAAGGCATTTCTCTTTGTATTGTATATTGGATTGGAAAAGACTAAGGCTGTGAGAATGTTAAAGAAACAGTTTATTTAATGTGAACCAAACTAGGGATACATTTCTGACTAAATTAATTTTTAAGATGTCATAAGAAACTATAAAAATAGTACTGAAAGGCAGCACTTAATGAAAGAAGCCTAATTAGATAGTGACTGTTGATTGATCTGTAGTCAGCTGAAACTAAAATTCCCAAAGACAATTAGCTAAACCAGCTTTTCTTTAGTTGAGGTAAAACCATCAGCAGCAGCATCGCCATCACTTAGAAAATACATATTCTAGGAGTATTTTTCTTTGCTTATAGTCATTTAAAAAAAGGTCTTTGTTCAAAAGACTATTAACATATATTACTAATGTATATCACCTTGTATATCTATTAGTCATGTAACTACCACCCTGGATATCTGATCTGATGTGCGAAATGCCCTCTTTCTTCTAGATAATTCTGTATTTACTATCTACCCTCCCTCAACCCATGCTTGATAGCAAAATAACTCATGATCTAAGCTCTTATGAAGTGGAAGTGTATGCATGTATGCAGTCTTTTCTAAGGGAAAAATCTAAGGCAAATCTATGTTGAGTAATCAATATTTCATTTTAACAGATCTCATAGTTGAGAAGTTAACTGATCAAAAAATTCATTTAAAACTAATCATAAAATTTATGAAAAGAATAGTTTATTAACTGCCATTTTAGTATCACCTTATTGTGTTGTGAAAATGTTTAAATTGTGTACTCTAGAAATGGAACAAAGAACAGAAGTTAAAAAGCTATTTTTGATAACTGAGTAATTGAAATAAAACTTGGTGACACTAATAAGCTAATACTTACAAAGAGAGGGCGAGGACATTGCTAATGCAATCAGCTCATTTACTTTATAAAATGAATGTTCTTAATTGGAGGTAATAATTTCAAAACTTACCTCTGCATACTTTAACTTCAATGTTTTATGCATTTCTCGGAAACGACTGTAACGCCTGAATACAGTCCATGTCTCGTCTAGGACGGTAATCTATCAACCAGGAAAATCAAAGTGGACCAGCATTAATTAGAACAAAATGTGACTACAAATTTTAAAAACATTATTAAATTAACGAAAAGTGATTAGCATGTAAAATTTCTTTAGCACTGAAAACATTAACCTAGCTGTACAAATAAAACATATAAATAATAACTGTACTTTGTCTCCCAAATCTTGTCATAAGCAGCATGTGTTCAAGAAAACTTAAGAGAAGTGAAACGCTGGTAGTCACCTCTCAATGGGGTATAAAAAGTGTCCTTTGATCCTCCAGTTGGTCGTAGAAAGCAAATCCCACAGGATGACCTTTAGGTTACAGTGACGCACCCAGACAAAATGTCAGGTGTAGGTTACAAGACCTTACCGTGACAATGGAAGTGGTGGAGGAGAAGAAGAAGGCAGGAGAAGGAAGAGGAAGAGAAAGGAAAGGAAGACAAAGAGAAGAAAAAAAAAGGGGGGGGGAATCTTATATCTGGGTGATTGTTAGTATAAAAGCATGATAACATGAATATGTATAATTATGATACGTAAATGTAAAATAATTTAGAAAATACAAAAATTACATAGAGAAAGCAAGATATATGGAGTATACAGTTTGAATCTATTTGATTAGAGTCCTCAAAGGAGTTGATATAATAAGCAGGCCAGAGGCAATAGTTGGAAATAAAAACAAACAAACAAAAAAAACAAAAAAAACTTGATAACTTTGCTCTTTTTCAAAAGAAGAATGATCAATTCCACTCTTAACTGGCTGACTGGGGTGGAAATTGTCACACATCAGCTGATATATCAACACTGAAGTTGCAAGGGGAAGCTGGGGGAGCCCCTCAGATTTTATAATCACACCTAAAACACAGGCTAAGGAGTCTCCAAGTCCTCTCTCCACTTTCCACTCTTCTTCTGAGCTCTTACACGTGCACCCAGTGTGCGGACATTTTTCTTTAGGTAGTACATTGGAACCTTCCATTTGACTTGTCTAAAACTGTACTCAACATATTCTGGTCTCACCTCTGCAGTTTTCTGTCTCAATACATTTTGCCACTGCCCACCAAGCCTGCCAGTCAGAGATAATGAAGTCTCCCCTGATCTCCCTTGACAGCTTCACGTTAGACAAGCACCAGGTCTTGTTCCTTTCACGATCTATGTGATCTTTGGAGCTCTATCCTTTGTCCTTTGCTGTCTCCACCGTCTGACTCTAGGCCATCAGGCAGCATGTGGACTCTGCCAGTGACTCTCTCAATTGTGGATACCCTGGAGGGGGCAAATGTACAATTTGCACAATTGACAGGAGGTCAATTTTAAAAATTCAAATCAGGGGGCAAATAGTGGTGCCTAGGTAAAACATAATGCTATGTGAGGCTGATGTGCATGGGATGGGAAGGTTCTGGGTTTGCATGTGGAGTGCTCCCTGAGTACGCCAGTGTGCATGTGCTCATGATCTAGGGTTGGCTGAGGCTGAGAGTGGATAGTGGTGTCAACAACTATTTGGTTTGCTGTCTCTTCTTGTGTCTCTTGCTCACAAAAGAAATAAACTTTAAAAACCCTAAAATAAAATCAATCCACCTTCTTCCTTAAGAACTCCTAGCAGCTTCATGTTGCTACAAAAAAAAAAAAGAAAAAGAAAAAGAAAAAAAGAGACTTAAATTTTTAACCCGACTCCAGCCCTGAGCCACCTCACCCTTAAGTCCCTCTCGCCCCATGTGTCTTCCCTCCTGCTGCTCTGCCTGAATGTACACACTCCTCCTTATGGCAGGGCCTTCACATAGGCCATGACCTTATGTGAGAAATCTTACTCTGCACAGTAGAGAAATGACCTTGTCAGTAACTCAACCAGATTCTCCTGCATGTAAACCACATAGGGACATCAGGAGGGCAGTAGAAGCAATTATGGGAAAATACCCAGACAGTAGCTTTGGGAGGAGAAGCAAGTCTTGAGTCTTGGGCATTCTCCAATTCATGCATTTCCCAAGTGGCAAATGATCTTCAGTGATGTATAAAGATGTACATTTTGGAGGCCGGCAGGTTGTGTGGTGGGTGGTATGGTGGTTAAGGTACTAGATCTCACATAGCCAACTTTGTGGTCTGAATCCTGGATCCAACAGCTTGAAAAACATGCCAGGCACAAGTGTATGCATGCCCCAAATCCCAAGAGAATGGAAGAAAAGAAACGGAACTGTGGCCATGGTGATTTCTCACTTTCCTTTTCTCTCCATGGTGAGTGCACAGGTCCTATGGCAAAATAAAGCACTAAAATAAAAAGTAAAGTGCTTTTTAAATTTTTCATCATTCTGATTGTGTATTCAGTTTTTACAATTGCTATTTAATTATAGCTGGCTTCTTATGATTTTCCTTGAAAAATATTTTCCTAACAAAAATAATAGGTGAGTGCATTTACAGAAAATCATGAAGTAAACAGTAGTACAGGTGCTCTGCAGCTGAGGGACACAAGTCATTCCAGCTGGGACACTGCTCCTGACAGCTAAATTGACAGACCTTCTCTCTGGCTCTCTCCTTGACAGAGCTCCCTGCGGCTCTGTGAGAGAGGCAAACACCATCAGCAGAGACTGGGGCTTCCTCAGGGTGAGAGCACATCAATACCCAGCCTTTGCGGGACACAAATCGGGTGTCAAAGAGACCACTGGAATGCGAGTGGGCTCTTCCCGTTCTCATGTGGAATAACGCTGCCTGCCTGCCAGGAAAGCCTAAAAAGTAAATGGAACCAGCCGTGACCTAGTAGTAATAAGCTGTAGGGTGTCTCACAGGCAAGACCGTTCTATACAGTGACTCTAGACTGCACACCACATGTCAAGAAACTGAGGTTCCTTCATCCTGTGTCTCAGTGCCCTCTGCCTTATCTCCCATCTGAAATCTCCCCACTGTACCTCTTAGATGCTGAGATGAAATTCTCAGCCTTTTCCAGATTGTTCCCTTCATCTTGTTTGAACTGTAAGTTGGCTGTTCCCACCTTGGCAGCTTTTTCAAATACGGTCAGTTTTCTCCCCCATATTCTTCGCCCCACTGCACCAGTAAGTGGGGTCAATGTTCTTCATTCCAAGTTTGTAGCTACAGCTCCTCTAATCTTTCTAAAATCTTCAGTGAGGCTCATGCCTTCAGATCCTGTTTTACAACCCATCCTTGCAGGCTGCTTTTCACCATGGTCACTTCTCCCATCCCTTGAAGGATTACGTTCTGCTCACTGACACTTACTCTGACAGAAGAGACTTTCTGTGAGATCCCTGGTCCCTTCATTAGCCACAAAGACAATCCCTCCAACACCCCGGTTGGTATGTTCCTTCAAACACCATTCTGCCCCGATTTTTTCTTCATTCAACTTGAAAACCACAGTCAACTGTCATAAACACCCCCTTCCATACAACCTTAAATCTCTCTGGCCAACTCTTAAAATTCCTGGGATAAGATAAACCACAACCCTGTTAAAACCAACTCCCTGCCCATTCTCTGTCTGTATCTGCCCAGCAGGATGTGGCTGAATGAAACACCCCACCAAACAGATGGTCACAATCCCCACCCTTGGGTCAGCCTATGATGATATTCATCAGTCATGCCATGTTTCCCAACTCTATATATCTTTCCATTCTTCTAGATACCTATTTATTCATTTCTCAAGCCTTCATTACCTCTTTCTCTGTCCTCACTCTCAGTTGAAAATGTTAATTCCAATTTCAATGAGAAAAAAGAAGCAATCCAAAGGGCATTTCCACAAGCTCACTCAACCAGGTCTACTCATCTGCCACCATCTGGCCTGTACCTCATCTTTTACCTGATACCATCAGTGCCCCTAGTTATGACCAATCCTCTGGAACACTGGATTCCAACCCCTTTTGCTTTCTAAAAGTCATTGTAATCAACAATTTTCCTCTCCTCTCAACAATTCATTCCCTCTATAACATTATTCCCAGGAACATCCCAAATGAGCTATTGGTTCTCTCATCTTAAACTCCCATCTAGAGCTTCCTTCCCCTTCTAGCTACCACTCCATTTCTTGAATAGGATATTCCTTGAATATCCTTCCATTAAAACAAAATTCCTTGAAAAGGTTAATTCTTGAAATTAATTATCAACTTCTTTCTTCTCATTATCCCTTGAATACATTCCACTCTACTCATCATTCCATTCAAACTAGTTTTACCATGTTATTACAACCTCCATACTGCAAAATCCACTGGTTAATTCTTGGTCTTGACCTTTCTTGATCTGTGGAAGGATGTTGAGTAGCTGATAAATCTTTCTTTAGTATCTTTTTCACTGACTTCCAGGCTGCTGTACTTTCTTCTTATCTTAGTTTGTTGGGATTTCATCTCATCTCCCTGACTGCTAAACATCAATATCCCACAGTTTAGTCCTTGAACATATTTTATGCTCTACCTGCACTCACTTTTTTGGTGATCTCATCTCTTTTTGTAGCTTAGGAATACATGCAAATGATTTCCTGGGTGTTCTCTGCCCTGAACCCAGACTCATATATCCTACTGCTGAATTGATGTGTCTGACTGCTTGGATATCTAATAGGCTCTCAAACTTTCCTTTCTCAGCCAAACCGATTGGCCTCCAAATCTTAGTAAATGGCAATGCAGTCTTTCTACTCATTTGATCCTAAGGCTTTGCTATCGTCCTTGATGTTCCTCTCTGTCTGTTATACTTTGCATCTAATCAGTCAGCCAATCCTAACAGCTACAACATCTCAGTACTATGACCATTACTCATGTTCCACTGTTAATATCTTGGTCCAAACACCTGAATGATTTTTCACATTCTCCTTTTCTATTCTTGTCCCCCTTCTCACTTCCCTTCTTCTCTCAACATAGCAGTCACAGTAATCTCATCCAAAACTAAGTCAGATGAGACCATTCTTTGCTCAAATGAGACATTCTCCCAAGATGTGCCAGCTTTCTCAGGTATACACTCTAATTCTTTCACTGACCTACAAAGATCTCTGTGATGGGTCTCTCTCTGGACTCATCTATGGTCACCTC